CTTATCCAACACACTGTCTGTGTTACTGTATTCTCTCGCTCTCTCTCTCCTTTCTCTCATTCACTTCCCCTTCGAGTGGTCCTTCCTTCCTCTTTATATCCCTCTCATCACTTTCTCCAATTCCTCACATCTTATATATTAATATCTTCTCCCTCTTCTTCTTCTACTTCTTTCTTCTACTTCTTCTTCTTCTTCCTTCTTCTTTCCTTTTCTCATTCTTGCTAAGTATATATTTGTAGTTCTTTTCCATCCCTATTTAACCATATCTTAATATCTCTGGCTATAGCTTGGGCGTTTGTGTTGTTGCTTGAACTTTAAAACGCGTAGGCTTATACTAGGGCAAGCACATTTCTTGGTTTTTGCTCATTTATTTTGGAGGCAGCTGACTAATATAAGACCTTATTCTGTTAATTTCCAAGATGTCAACAGAAGGTCGAGGCAGTCGACAGCAGGTGTTTCCAGGATTTCAGATGATCAGATCATTGAACTTGTCTCCAAGTTACGCCAACTTCTTCTGAGATTCGTGATAGGCGATCTGACAAGGTATGCTTCTCTCTTTCTCATCTCTGTTTCAAGAAGATCAAGCCAAACAAGTTGATTTTTTTCTAATGCAAAGTTGCAGGCAAGGTGTGGAAACCGTAACGTATTCTAATCCCCCCCCCCCCCCCCGGTGCATGTGCCACAGCCCGCATGGGAATTGCATATTTCAGTTATAATAATAGTAATCTTCGAAAAAATCAGTTTAAAAACTTGACCCCGGATGTCAAGGAAACATATTTTCATGGGTTTAAGCTTCTCATTGACTTAGAACAGTGGCCTGCTTAGTTTGACCCTGGAAGAGGAAGCCAGAACCATCCTGTTTAGTTAACTAAAGCACAGTCCTAGCCTCAGTATGTGGGGTATAATGCACAACCCCTCAACAGTGTACTTTGTCGACTTAGGTCGATTTGATTATGAATTACTATTTGTTGTATATAAATCGACATTATAGCAAAATAATAATGTCAGAAGAAAGTGACTTATGGTTTAACATGGCATTGAATTTGACCGTACTCCTGCAGGTATCAGCATCCAAGGTTTTGCAAGAGACTTGCAATTACATTAGAAGCTTACATAGGGAGGTGGACGATCTGAGTGAACGACTGTCCCAGCTCTTGGCTACAATTGATGCTGATAGTGCTGAGGCTGCTATAATTAGGAGTTTAATTATGTGATAATAAACCACCTTTTGTTTCTCCTACTTTCTTTCTTGCTAGGTTTTGGTCACTAGATCAAACAAAATTTATAATATATTTTAAGATGCATGCTCCCCCATGTGGAAGGGTGTGCACTGTAATTACTTTGTATAATAAAAGGACTTGCACTAGCAAAAGCCTTTAATTTTAATGGTGATGCTATAACTTTTGTAGGCATGAGACAAGCTTAATTAATTTATATCCTATGCCGTTTTTGGTTTGTATATTAGTATCCGACTATTTGATTTAATGATAAGTATATATATCTTATTTAAAGAATTAGGTCGAATTTGCTTTTTTAAATCAAACTAGTTTAAATAATATATTAATTTTCATGAAATTAATATGATTAAGGTGGTTGTCTTTTGAAACAAGATAGGCAAATTGGAAGAATGTGTTGATCCTAAGCTTTTTGTCGGCAAGTTGGGATCAAGTGCGTGCTATAATGCAATACGAAAAGCACCAAAATCATTATTAGAGAGTGATTTGATGGAATACTAATTAAGTTTTGCTAAGTATGACCTACATGTTAATTAGGAGTTTTCATTTCTTGTTTGTTTATTTATTAATCAATTCACTAACTAATAATATTGTTTCTTATAATATTAAATATATCCCTTGAAAAATACCTACAATCTGAATAATTTATTGTAATTGAAGCTGTTAGAATTTAAATTTTAATTAATAAAATTAAAATTTTAATACTCTATATCATATAAATTATTAGCACCAGCAATCTGACTTTCACAATGCATGTCAGTATCGGTGCTAAAAAGTAAAAAAGAAACGAAAAAAAATGTTCCTTTCTGCTGTTAAAACAAAAGAGGGTAGGAAGGAGTAAATCGACTATGGTAATTCTAATCATTCTGAAAGAAACATATGCTAGAAAGGGTTAAGACAGACAGAAATCCTGGATCATAAAACGAATTCTCTTCTTTATTGTACGTTCTTAATTTAACAAGTTTCACAGGCAAAGTTGAATCATAATCCGAATCCAACCAATGTCTAGTCATCAGGAACATGATGTACTATAGTTTCAGAAACTTGTTGATCTTTTAGTCAACATGTTTTGAATGATATGACTAGATCGATAGATCTATTGTTGATACTCATATATCAACTTTAATATTATCCTTACATCACAAAATAATACCCAAAAAAAAAAATGATTTAGAATTAATAAGAATTGATAATGGGCTTGATAAAAATAAAATTATATATTTTGTGTTTGATGAATTTATATGAATTATAATATAATAATTTTTGTGTTTTATTTATATTTAATTATAGATGAGTTGGCGTTAAACTCAAGCTTTTTTTTTTTTTTTTTTTCATTAAATCAATATAATTAAATTTAACTATGTATATACAAGACAAACAATGGGACTTTACTTATAACTCATAAATTTGCATGAAACTTTAGAAATCATAACTAAAATATTTATAGAGTCATGTCTTAAACAAGTGCAATATCTAGGAATCATGATTTTTTTATGAATAATTACTTGGTGAATTATGCTTCCCTTAGCATGAAAAAAACTCATGCAACTTTTTCAATTTGTTAATTTGTATAAATATTTTACTCCCGTTATCCCATTTTTGTTGTCCATCTTTCTTTCTTGAGATATCTCAAAATTATTATTATTATTTTTTTTTTTAACATTGTGAACTTTTTTTTATATTTTAAAATTATTTTTTATGATTTTTTTTTTATTTTTTGACATTAAAAATTTTAAAACTTTAATTTTATTAAAAAATTTTAAAATTTATTATTAAATACATTGAAGTCAAAACTTTCTTTTTAAATTTCGTAAAATTCAATATATGACAAATATTTTGAGATAGGGGAGTGCTAATTAATGAAAATAGGACATGCATGGCAATGAAATCATTTATTTTAATCAAGATATGAGAGTTTTCACTTTTTTATTGGAAAAAACTAATAATTGACAGAGGTCATTATATATGATCACTAATCCAAAATAGAGCTTTGAAAAAGTGAATTATAACAGGTTGAAAGACATTAACATACAGCAGCATGTATACAAAGATTACTTAACTACCAAAACTGAATCACCATTTAGAAAAATCAATTAGGTTTAAGAATCACTGCAAATCCAAGAAGCAATGAGAGATTATAATTATGAAGGCATTGTTGACCCATGGAAATGCACATCAATTCAAATTTATCTTAATAACAAGATTGGATGATTTGGCTAAAAATTATTTAACTTCAAGCACATGAGGGAAATATATATATAGTTTTTTTTTTTTTTTTTATACATTTGAAGTGAAATTTTAATTTCACAAGTTGTTATACATCTCATTCTTTAATTAACTTTTTTTTTTTTATTTTGTGTTATAATCTAAAGAATATGTATCACTTTGTTAACTTTGTTTGTAGAATCTAAAAATATTATTACAGTTGATGTAATAATTTCTTATATATATATATGTACAATTATTTTAATTTTTTTTAGTTGGTTAGTATCTTAAGCTATGCAAAGTGAATGAGGAGATGACCTAAAACCTTTGCAACATAATTCACTGGCTCTAATCATGGTTGCTAGAAACATTAATAAGTATATACCTAAAGGCAATATTTAAGTCTCCAGAAAATTAGCTGAAATATAAACTCCCTCTGTCTCATTTTTTTAATCCAACCTTTTTTTTTGGGGTGTCATAAAATTATGTTTTATTTTTTTAAAACATCTAAAATCTTAATTTTTTATATTTTAAAATTATTTTTTAAAATTTTTTATTTTTTGATATTAAAAATCTTGAAATTTTAATTTTATAAAAAATTTAAAATTTAATATTAAATATATTAAAATTAAATTTTTTTAAATTCTATGAAAATTAATATATGACAAATATTTTAAGATGGACAGATTTTTTTTCCTTTAAAAACATGAGGCATTGATTTTTTTTTTTTTGCCTTTAGGCACAAACAAGATAAGTTGCCTTTCAATTGCAGGCCAAGGCAATGATTAAAGGAGAAAAATAAAAGGGAAAAGTTATTTTAAGCAAATTGTCAAATTTCTCAATGAATGAAAATGATTGAATAAAAGGCAACTAAATTCAGCATCCAAAATTCCAAATCCAAAAGAGCCCTTAAAGTTTAGCCACTTGGGTCTTCATATAAATTATGCCTATTTGTATTTTCTTTGGCATATGCTCAATCTGATTTTGTGGTATGAAAATTTCCCTTTCCTTTTCTTTTTTTGGTTGCCATAAGATTGGACTGTCTAATAAAAAATAATAGCTATATAGACTCTAAGAATATATATATAAATTTTGTTCAATTTGAATTTTCGGTTAAAATATCAATTTGAATGATATTTTCCTATATTATTCTATCACCTTTTTTAGTAACAAATTAAAATAAATTATATATATGTCAAAATTTAATAACTATTCCCATAAACTGTGTTTTAATGGTAAAATGTAAACATTTGAATTTGAATTATTATGATTTAATTTTTGATAATTTTAAATATAAAAATTAAAATAAATAACCACCCTACATTGTTTTTTATGGCTTTCGATTTTAAAGGAAAAATAAAATAAGAATAATAAAAATTAAGTACAACTAATTAGTTGATGATTTTAATACATTGAAAGAGAGTTCTAGCCTATGAACAAAAACAACATTTTTTTTTTTGTATTATTTGTTGCTTGTGGAACACTTCTAATAGGAAATTACTTGCTTGTGAGAAATTTTTTTCTTTAATTTTTATACTTCTTAATTAATGAAAAGACTTGAGACCAACTCTAAATGCCTTTTAATAATGAATGAATTTGTGATTTTTTTTTTTTTGGGTATAAGGGAGCCTAGACCAATTCTCTATTGTTTAACATTAACGCTCCATTGACGAGAGTGGGGTTGTGGCCATCTGGCATCTGGTAAAATCACCTCACCAAGTCAGCAGGTGGAGGTTGTGTCGGTTAGATGTCTCTTCTGTCACTCTTTCCTTTCTTTCTGATAATGCTGAACCTCTAAATCATCTGATCAAAAACAACAGGTGTGTAATTATATAATCATTTTCATAAATCCTCCATTTATTTTCCTATTTTTTCTTCCAAATTCAATGACACCCAGTTCTTCATTTCAGCTTATTTTATCAGTTTTTTTATTGACTTTGTTGCAAACTTTAAGCTTTAATGAGTTCAGTTGCCCTTTTTCCTATGTGGGTTTTCATTATAAATCAGGTTTTTCAAGAATATCATTCAGTATATGCTTGGCAAATAATCAGTATCAAGCATGTTTATGACAATTAGTAGCCATGTTACTTTTAAGTTGTTTGATTGGTTGTTGGAAATTCAGGGCTTTTACATTGATCTTTGGTGGAAAATATTTTGATTTTTTCACTCATTATTGATCCCCATTATTGATCAGCTATGATCATTTTTTGTTCTTAGTTCTTTCCTTTTTCCTGATTTTGCTCCTCCTGGTACCCCTTTTCCACTGTAATATCATGAGGATTGTTTTTGAATATTGAATTCTTTAATGTATATTTTTTATAGTTAAGTACTTAAGTTTTATTCTTTAATGTAAGTTGAGCCCTTTTTGGCACTTTAGCCAAAAAGTTTGATAATCTTGCTTCACGCTTGCATTGTTTGACTTGTATTCTTCCTTACAATGAAAGCTGGTTCTTTTTTGGAGGATTGTATGGGCTATGGCTGTTCCCAAGGCTCCTCCCCTTTATCACTTTTGACTTGAACTAAGATTTCTTATGGTGCATTTAGCAGATCTTGGAGTAGATTAAGGCACCTTACTTGGGATTACAGATTTTAACTCCACTTTGTAAATAGCTTTGGCAATGTATTAATGGCAATTCGAATATGTTAATGTTGAAATCGGACTAGTCAATACTAGAAAACCGAGCTACAATCAAAACAGCACGGCATTTTTATTAGATTTTAGAAGCATCCAAGAATTTTTTGGCTTTCTTTTTGTACCTATGCAAGGATAGATGAGCGCTTGGGACCATTGAGGATAATTGACCTCAGAATCATTCATAAGTAACACTGCCCCAAGATGATAAAGCCTTTTATCTCTTTCTGAAATTACCCTTATCTTAGCTATTTCTGCAAAAGAAATGGCCTTGTCCATGGAATTGCAATCGTTTCAGCATTATACAGTGTTGAATGAACAAGGATGATTTCTAATTTATCAACCTAACTTCACTGAAGTTGGCTTCTAAAATTTTATTTAAATACCGTCAAATAGTTTCTTCTCGGCAGGCTTTATCTCATTGAAAACTGTAAGACAATGTACCCCGGTGGTTATGCTGCTGAAGTTACAAGCTTATCACCAAAAGCTACTGAGAAGGATCTTCAGGACTTTTTTGCTTACTGTGGTGCAATTGAGCATGTTAAAATTATCAGGTAGTCTTTTGGTACTCAGTTTTTGGTCACTGAATGCACACCACATAGTTTCCATTATAGATATTTTTCACGATTTTGTTTAGATTTATTGTGCATTTGTAAACTTGTTGGACTTATTGGTCACCGGTTCTTTGAGAAAAAAAGTCAAAAGCTAAGAAGCCTTTTGTCTGAAATGATTTCATGTTGGATAATTGATAATCTCAATCTTGATTTTTATGGAAAATCAATATCTTTGAGTAGAATTTCTTCAGGTTATGATTCCCATAATTTGTACAAATGTAACTTAGCAGCAAGTTCCTTTTTCCTTTCTTGTGACAGGTTTCTGGAATCAAGGAGGGTTTTATGATCAAGCTGTTTAAATTTACTTATTGTTTACCTACTCATTTAGGAAAAGTCCAAAGTGAGAGGTCTTTTTTTGTCTGAAATTCTTTCTTGTTAGATACTTGGTACTTTCGATCTGATTAAATATGGACATCAGTCTCTTAACAGAGTCTGCTCAATTATAATTCTATAATCTGTACAAATTTGACTTGCCAGCAAGTGCATTTTTCCTTACCTATGACGTATTTCTTGAACTAATGAGAGTTTACAATAAACAAGATGTTTAATTTTACTTTTTATTTGAAATTACATAACCTTGTTTTGTAGGTACGCATTAATGTGATGTGATTAGCTGATGAACATTAGCTTATAGTCAATCATTCCTTTAAACCTAAGATAGGCGTAATTGGATGCTGATGCTGATAGAAATAGGTTCTGTAGTGCTTATGTGAATCTCGTGGGAATGTGACTGGCTGCCCATTATAGGAGTGGTGTCATACTTGCTTTGCATGATCTCTTTGATTCTGTTATTTCTTCAAATTCATGCTTTAATGAAGAGAACTGCTTTCTTTACTGAAAACAGATGTGGGGAATATGCATGTACAGCTTATGTGACATTTAAAGATGCTTATTCGCTGGAAACTGCCGTCTTACTCAGTGTAAGCTCCAATTTAAACTTCCGGAGAGTGAAATAACAGTCATTTCTTTTCTAAAAGAAAAAAAAAAATTGCAACTGAGTTCTTTTAGCTACCTGGGTGGTTCTAATCCTTTTCTTTCCTCAGTATGTTTTTGTTTTGATATGTGACCCTTTTGTCCTGTGTGCATCAAAACTGATAAATAGGTTTCCAAGTACGCAACTCATTTGATATTCGTCTAATTCCGGCAATTTTACTTTAGCAGAACCACAAAGATAATATTACAATATCAACATCTTGTGTGTCTGTAAAGAATTTAGAACTTTGTTTGCATGTCCTTATCTATTCAGGGAACTTGGTATACGATCTGGTGCATCAGCTTCATGTGAGTTGGCCTAGAAGGTGAAAAGTGGTAATAATGATACTGCCCTATCAAAAAACAAGTCGGTCAATTTAAAATTTATAACTCTGGAAAGCCAATTAGCCCGCCCTTGCTTCTCTTTAAAATTGTATGACTGGTAATATACACTGGTTAGCAACTTATATCAGAAAATAAATTCTTGGATATTAATAAAAATTGCTCATCAACTAACTTCCAAACATCTTCCTTATTGGAAAAACTTGCTCTTGTCCTTTTGCTTTTCTGAAACACGGATGAAGCTGTTCTTACAAATGGGTAAATATCTCCACAAAGAAATATTTGGAATCTAAAAGTGATTTTGCTTCCTACTCCACATAAAAACAAATAATAAGCATATTAAAATTATAAATAAAGATGTTAATCTAATTGATTTCCTGAGGAACTAGTGAGTTCTGGTATGGAGACTAAATGAAAATGAGACTAATTCATTCTTTCAATTTGAAATTTGAGATTTGAGACAAGTCATTGTTAAGATAATCTTAATCTCTTTCCGTTTCCAATCAGTACAGATAATCTCATTAGCATCCTAATATATGGTGTCATCTTCCTCTAAATTTTCCTTAGTTGAGTTAACTAGTGATGAGTGATGATTCCTTAATTTGTTCAGCATAGACAGACAAAAATAAAAGGGGGGGGGGGGGGTGAGTCCTTAATTCTTTGATTCTTTATGCTGTTTAAATGTCCTCCGAACTCAAGATTGCAGGGATGTCACCGAACATTAGCAACTTAACATCGTGCATCCTGCCTTCCTGATATTTTTGTAGCTATTGTTTCTCTCATTATTGCCCAAATTTTGATTTGTCAGGGAGCTACAATTGTTGATCAGTCTGTCTGCATATCAAGGTGGGGTTCATATGTAGATGATGCATATCCTTGGGATGGTTGTTCCTGGAAGACTCAAGAGGATACTAGCTCAACGGTATGCATTAATTTCTTTAATCAGGACAGCAAGTTGATTGCTTGGTTCACTATCCCCCATAAGCACATTTTACTTGTTGGACTCTCAGCAAGGGACTCCTACATGAGTGTGTGATTTTAGTATCTTTCTTATTTGCCTTTAGAAACTCCATGAACAGAACTTCATGATTGGTTGGTCTATCTTGAATTTGTTGGGTATCAAAAATTGAAGAATGTGAATTACAGGATAGTAAGGTAATATAAGTGTTGAAGACAGGAATAAATTGTAATTTTCTCAAGATTATTTCAATTCCGAGTTTACTATCTCAATCTGCTCCTAGAATCATAATTAGTGAATGGTTATATCATGCAAGATGAATGTAGCATTTTTGGCATGATGAAGAAATTGGGAGCTATCCACAAATTTGGGGCTTAGTTTTTCTGGCCAGAATGATGAGCAACATGGAGCATGGGAACATTTTTGAATTTGCATGATAAAAAAACTAATATGCCATTTTCTTCTTTGATTATCTTATATAGGATTTTTCCTAATGGCTCAATTGATTGCTTCACCTGCTTCAATTAATTTGATGAGTTTTTTCTTGCCAATTTCGTCATGATATTTGATGCATGTCATGTGGAATGATTTTGCATGTAAAGAATACGGGGCTGTTTTTTATGGTTTGAGTTGCTCTCTTTTAGTTCATCGAGCTAAACCATCAATAATCTTAGCAGGTTACTCATATGGACCAATTTGTTTCTACTCCTGGAGAAGCCGTGACTGTTGTCAAAACAATGCTTGCCAAGGGATATGTTTTGGGCAAAGATGCCCTTGTCAAGGCCAAAGAACTTGACGAGTCCTATCAGGTCTCAGCTACGGCAGCAGCCAGGGTAGCGGAGCTTAGCAATAGAATTGGCCTAACTGATAAGATCAACACTAGCATGGAAACCGTAAAATCAGTGGATGAGAAGTATCATGTTTCAGACATCACCAAATCTGTTGCATCAGCTACCGGGACTGCAGCTGTAACAGCAGCAACTTTTACGGGGAGAACTGCAGTAGCAGCTGCCAATGCTGTAGTCAACAGCAGCTACTTTGCCAAGGGAGCACTTTGGGTTTCTGGCATGTTGAGCCGTGCAGCTGAAGCTGCAGCTGATCTGGGTAGCCATGGAAATAAACAAACAGAAACTTAAGTTGCACATGACACCCTTTTTAGTAGTATTTTCCCATCCTTTGTATTTGCATAAAAATAAAGTTCTGCCCTGATTTCGGCAGGTTAGATGGGTGTAAATGTAGGATTTATATGTGACGTTTCTGAGTGTTTGTTCATTTAATTTGATGTAGAACTTCATGCTTTCACTCTAACATGTCTGAAGAGGAAATGAAATATCACATGTCCACTTGTCTGGAATCTGGATTCCTATGTTTGAGTTTGAAGATGACCTCATCTTGCAACGTGGGGAATGGATCTGATGTTGGAGTCTTCAGTTTGCTGATGAAATTGACTCATGTCGATCTTCATCTTATTCTGCTCCGCTGAATGCGTGATTCTGATCCCATATCACACCATCACCAAACCGTCATGTTCCAGAAATTGTGATTTCATCTTTGGTCACTGTCCCATCTTAATTTATGCTGCTGTGTGAATACAATTCATAGTCTGTTCTATTAGGAACGTGATGCCGAAGGGCTCATTTAATCTGATCCAGCAACAATTTGTGAATTCATTTAGCAATGGACTGGTCCTGATAGGGCAATTATGCCAGCTAGAAAGCCAAGATAGATGGCTACCCCTGAGCAAACGTTAGCATTCAAAAGAGAATTCTAGATTTCAACATCGCTTTTCTTTTTTTTTTTTAAACTGAACAGGGAATGGAAATAATGAGATTGACTTCTCATTTTATGTGTATTTTTTAAGTTTTTTTTTTTATTAAATTTGATAATTTATATATTCATATTTATTTATTTCAAATCAAATATATATAAAATATAAAAATTAACATATTATAATTTATATTAATATATCAAATATAAAATATATTTTTTAATTTTTTTCATATATACTATAATATTAGACTATGACAATTTTAATTTTTGTCATTTTCTTGTCATTTCATTGTATTGCTTTGGAGTGCTTGTTAGCTTTCACATTTAAGAAACCGACTTAATAGTGCCCACTCCCATTAATCTCTTCTCAACTAATATATGGTTTCTTAATGCCCCCTGCCTCTCTGCCCCAATTGATTTGACACTTTTCATGCTGTAAAAGGTAGCAATCGAGCACTCCTTGATACGCTACTCTTGAGCTATTATCAAGTTTCATGTCTCAATTATGGACTGACTTTCGCCTTAATTCCCGAATCATGCCATCAAAAAAAATGAAAATTTTAAGTTTCTGAATGCAGCAAACCAGACTAACCAAATGCTGCTCTTAAAAGAAATTCACACGGGTAAATTATAGTGCAACCTAAACAGATTATCTCAAGTAGCTTTCCTGCTTTTAGAAAATCAACCAAATGTGTCAATTTCATTAGAGATGTGATTGGCCAAAAAAATGATTACATAATATTTGTAAAATTATAATTCCAAAGCGAAATCAAACAGATTGGATGGGGCAAGCCTTTTTCTTCCCCATGATTTTGCTCTACAACAAGACAAACAGAGCCATTATCAAGCTTTGATACATTTTCCCTTTTAATATAAGGTCATTTCATAAAGATGGGGCCTTGTAAAAAGTTGTAACATCTAGATCACTTCTTTTATTTTTTCCTCCCTCAAATTAATGAAACTGTTTTGGGGAAACATTTATGGCAGACATCTGATTTGAAGGGGTTTGTTCTCCATTTGAGTTGCAATCTTCTGAACACTATTTTTCTTCCATTTGAAACAACCAAAACCTTGGATATGATTTGATTAGACGGGGAAAATGGCACGTTCCCTGTTGTGATTTTCTAGCTGAAAAGGCCCCCAAAACCCCCATGTATGTGAAAGTGACGAATGATTCTGAAATGGGAGATGAGGAAGTGAAGAAATATGCAAAACTTCTTTTACTTATATTAGTTGTATTATCTTTAATGCCATTTAGCAGCACTGTCTTTTATTAATGGCACCGAGCTAATATCTAATTCTTTTAAGCATCTCACATGATCCTCAGCCGCGGGGCCTGTGCAACACCCTGTACAAATTTCAAATCAATATCCAATAGATAACTTTGAAAATCTTAGCTTCCTATGGCTGAATATAGCCGTGATATCACCAGCCAAATTTTGATAAATTTTTCGGTAACATCAGCTGGAACTATTGTTATTTTCTTGCTGAAGCATTTGACAAATAGAATTAGGAACTAAAGGAATAAGTTCATTATGGAATTGTTAATTCTAGACATTGCAGTTTCTTGGAATTCAAGTTAGATAATGGGTAACTGATATGCCGCCTTTTTAATTGGTGTAGGAAAATATTGAATGGCATCAATGCCTTTTGGGATTGATCTGTAGCTCTCAAAGAAGGAAATGATCCTGGTGTTGATTGGTTGAAAACTTGGAAAGAATCAAGGGCAGCAACCAATCCTTTGCCTCCTTTGTCCAAAGAAACAGGATTGACATTGTCCCTCTTCTTTCCGCCATTCGCCGGTGCTGACCCTGATGCATTCTTCACCTAACTGAGCCTGCTAATTTACTACTACTTCATAGCTTTTATAATAAGATGCTCTATTGCTAGTATATTTGTAAAGGAGGATTGAATTATTCAACCAAACCACTCCTACAAAATGACATTTGAATCTTTTATTTATTCAACTAGTTATGTTTTCACTCAAGTTAGCTTTCTTTCCCCTTTGCTTTTTTTTCCAGAATTTGGAACTGAGAGTTGAGCCTTTGAATCAAACCAGATATAGCCCTGGAAAAGTTAGCATGGAAATGTTTCTTGGTTTTACTCCAATAATTTTGGGGCCCTGCTGGAATCATCCTCTAGTTTCTGCAACCTGATAAATTGCTCTTTGCCAAGGTACACACAAAAATTACTACTTGCAATAGTACAAATCCAATAAAGTGAGGAAAACATCAAAGATTCAGAAAAGGTGCTATAATTGCATCTCTCAAAGTATAATCTCCATTAGTTGGAAAGTATACAAGCTTCCTTTTAGAAGGAAACATGGTAAGTATACAGCCATAAGAGCACATGACTGGTAATCAGAAAGAAACCTGCTTATAAACAATACATTATCTTGTTCATTATACTGAAAATATATCATGGAAACACCTCACTGTACAACAAACAACTCACAGAAAAGGTTTTTAAACAACACCAGAAAAGAAAATAGAAGGGACAGTTGTATGTTTTTCATGAACTAATTAGTAGCAGCAAATTGGACAGCGGATAAGACCATTTTCATTACAATCAGGACACCTTTGAAATCCATACTTATCATCATCATCATCTTCTTCTTTATTATCATCTTCATAATACACTTTACAACTACCTGAACAAGTCTCACAAGGCACAAACCTGACATCCCCACAAGCCTCACAAGCTCCACCATTGCCTCCACCATCATCATCCACCATTTCACACTCTTCAACCTCCTTCTCTAGCTGGCCTTCTTCATGCTTTCGCTTTATTTCCTCAGCTCCACCAATGTGTTTTCTCCCCACAAATACCCTTGGCAATCCACCTTTAAACCCTTCTCCCATTAGCTCTTTCAATTCCTCTTTAAACCCTGAATGCATTGAAACATCTCGTTCATCAATACGAACTCCTAAGCTTTTCAGGATCACTCTAACATGACAACAATCCTCGTATGTCTTCCGAACCCCTCTTAAACTTGTAAAGTACAGAACAACCTTATCCTTCTTAAGCTTACGATCTGAAACAACAATATCATTTAGTTTCTTCTCAGAATCTTGCTTTTGTTCATTCTCCAGAGGCCTGAGATGAAAAGGGTTATCAGGAGGAAGCTGTTCAAGCGATTTCCTAAAGCTAGAAATAATTTCCGGATCAAAATCTGTAATCCCCAAATCCGATTTCTGATTACCATCTTCTTCACTTTGAAGCCACATAGGCTTTGGAGACACCATGCCATTTTCTTTTGGCGCTGAATTCCTAACAACATCAAAAGAAAAACTCCTAAAATGACTTGGAGAACGAAGAGGACTGATATCTTCAAGTCCTGCCATCATTTCCCATGTATTGATTGTTTCAGGCTCTCCAGGAGGAGTCCTGATAGGCGTTCTGGGAACAACTTTTGGGATCTTATCTTGGATCATTTTCGACCAAACTTTTGCTTCAATCACTTCCATAGCCAACCCTTTACTCTCCTCCTCAACTTCCTTTACATTCCCATTGATTTTAGTGGCGCTCTCAAGATTGCCATGAAATGCTGCAACGTTGATGCTAGTGCCATTGTTTTGGTGGTTGGCTTCTAGCATGAGAGTGCCTAATGTGGTGGATGTTAAAGCTACAACATGGTAGCTATCGTCCTTGTGCTGAGCAGGATGATGCACGTGCACTGAATACCTTCTTGCAACAGGTGAATAAGGAGCGTGGCAATGCCGGCATCGTTTTTGCCTGGAACTAGCACAACCCATAACATCCAAAGAAAACAGAGGAAAAAGAAAAGGGAAAACAAAGGAAAAACAATGAGGAAAATTTGGGAACTTTGGAATGTGATTTGATGAATAGGTTAAGAGAACATCCCTGATTAAACGTGCTGGTTTGGTGGGGTTTTGGTGTAGATTAAATCATTAAAAAATGAGAAAGAGATAAAGAAATGTTGATGATGCAACAATGGAGAGAAAAAAAAATCAGATGATTCCTTGGAAGCTTCTCTTTCTGGAAAGATCAAATAAAAAGATATGTTTTTCTTCTTCATTCAGCAGAAGAAATAGCTTATAATATGATCAAAAAAAAAAAAAAAACTTGAAACTTTACAAGAAAAAAAAAACATAAAACTGAAGATACCCAGATGAGAATTTGGATTAATCAGGTGTAAAGAAGAATTGGGTTGCAGAAATCTTGGGATTTGGAATAGAAAAAATAACAAAAAATTAGTTTTTGAGAAATGATTGAGAAGACAACATGAAACAAGAAAACAACAAAAGCAAGAAGAAATTGAAGAAAGAGAAGAAGAAAAAGAAAATGGGAATGGAAAGAAAGTCAAAGGAAAAACAAGGTTAAAAAGATATCTGAATTATTAAATTTAAAAAAAAAAGGGAAAAACTTTTAGAAAGATTGATCTTTCAACATCGTCGTCTCATGAAAAACTTTTTTTTTCCTCCCTCTACAGAAATTCCAGAAAATGATGAGGGAGATACGGAATACCTGTTGAGAGGGAGCATTTAATGAGAGAGATATTAGTTGTGAGTTGTACAGGTTGGTGTTAGAGAAAGAAAAAAGACAAAAAAGAAAAAAAGTTATTTCTTTTATAATTTTTTTGTACAACTTTTTATTATTTTATTTCTTATAATATTTTTATGTTTTCTTGAGGTCCCATTTCTAATATTAAAAACAGCTGCTTTTGCTTACAAAATTAAAAAAAATCTTTGTGATTTTAATTTGTTTGATTGTATTTTAAGAAAAACTTAGGAGTCTATCTAAGAAATAATTAATTATGTTTTCTAAATTATTTTTGAAAAATAACATTATATTTAAAATTAAAATTTTAACATCTAAAAGCTTTTTTATTTTTAACTATGACCATTTTTTTATAAAAAAAAAATTATTTTAAATAAAAAAATTATATCACAATCATTGAATCAAATAATTTGATATATATATATATATTTAAAAAAGTTGGTTTGATAATGGAGTCATTAACTAGCAACTACTTCAACCAATAAATGTTTTTGAAATTGTAACAATAAATTTGGTAAAACAACCTAATTTTAGGAAAAGAGATCATGGCTACTAGATTTGAAGTTTGTCCTTTGAACAAAACAAATTTTGGATTTGGTTGTTCACTTTCCTAAAATTATTAACTTACAAAAGCAAAAAAAAAAATAAATAAATAAAACACATTCTAAATAATTACTTAAAAATACAAAATTTTGGAATGGGAAAAAAGGGGATAAATTTTGAAATAATTTACATGATTTATCATTTTTTATTTTGTTTTGTTAGTGAAAAAATGGAATAATTACAATATATAAATGCCAACAAAACGCGGGAATTAATGTTGCATATTAATAGCATTCGCTCTTTATGTAGCGTGAATACGTCCTTCAATCTCACGGCTAAGCTTACATGTTCGGAATGTTTTAAAGGAATATGGGACGTCCGATAGTTTGTGCCTTGGACTGCCTACCAAAGCGCGTGGTAATACAAGTTTTGAAATGTAAGTAATTATTTTTTTCCTTAAAATATTTTTACTAAAATAAATGAAAACTACTTTGCTTTATTACATAACGCCATAAGTTTATTTAATGCAAAAGGAGGAATCTTAGAAAGTGGTTTATTAATGGACAAATGAAATTGAGAAAATGTCATATTCATTTATTTACTTTTTACGTTTCTAAAATACGTTTTTTTTTTGCTTTTTTTTTGTCTTTGCTTTATGATTTAATAGATTGATTATGATGTTGAATTTGTTTTTACTCTTTAGTGTAGCTTGAGAAAAATACCTTATTATTATCTCAATTTTAAAAAAGATTTGCAATTGTAATTTTAAATATGTCCATTTGAAATTTAGTCTTTATCTTCTATCTCGAAGAATCGATTCTTAGAAATGAAAAGAGATTTATGAAACAAAAAAAATACATATTTTGTACTTGAAACTAAAAATTTAAATGAATTCAAAATTTAATTAAATTTATTCATTAAAAAATATTTAATAAATTTAAATTTAAATTCAAGAACTTATGACATATCAATTTTGAGTTAAATTAAAGATTATCTCCCTAGCTAATAAACCTTAACTTTTATCTTAAAAAAGAAATTAATCCAATTTTTTGGTATAAAATAAAATACATTGAGTGTTTATCCCTAGGGTTAACAAAAAACAATACTTCTAAAATTAAGAAGTAGAAGATAATTTTAAAAGCCAACAGCAATGTTATCTACAATTAATTGTTCTTGGTCATAAATCAAAAGTGGTTGAATATGCATCCAATCAAACAAAATTGGTAAATAATTTGGAACAAATGTATACCTCTTAGGTTGGTGAAGGGTATTGAAGATTTAATACGTTTCCATTATGGAAATTTTTATACCCTTTTTCATCTTTATAGAATTGTTAACAAATAAAACTTTCTTTAAAAAAAAAAAAGGGGCTAAAAATTCATTATTTGAAAAGGTAATAACGGTGTGGGACCATCATTCTGATTACACATTATTGAAAGTATTAAAGTGGCAAAGTGTGGTAGAAGCTAAAACCTTAATGGTCACTTTTCATGCCAACCCATGCCAACAACCTTTGGTAGCCATGAATATATCCTTATAACCTTAATGTACGAATGGGTGAATTCTATTTTAAGAGAAAATTATTTATTCAACATTTATTTGCTAGCAAACTACAAACTCCCTTGACAAAATTTATGTATATTATTTGAGCTATATGTAAATGATAAAATCCTATGCTTTTTAATTTTACAATTTGAACTTAAAACCTTAAAATTATGTGTTTTGGATCCTTTTGAGTCCATTCGTTTTCTTAAGATAAAGATGCACTTTCTTTCTCTCATCATTAAGTCTATTAATTGATGGTTAGTTTTATTACTTAATGTCACATAAATTTGATAGTTGCATAAAAATTTTTTTGGATGACTATGTCATGTGTTAAAGATGTTACAAAGAAAAATATAAAATTTAACTCAAAATGATTCATTTACTAATAAGTGAATTCTTACAATATTGAGATTCAAATCTCAATCCTTATAAATTTCATTCCCTAATTCACCCGAAGCCCTTGAATTAGTAAAAAAAAAAAAACAATAATAGAGGTCTAATAATTAAGTATTAAGTTATAGTTGTGAACTTAATTGTTTTGGTTTGTTAATTAACATCATGAGAGGCCATTGTTTTGCTCAACTAAATATATAGTTGGCCTTTTGCTTACTTATTATAGCCATATGCTATTTTCAAGTAATAGAAACAAAAGATTTAACTTTTTAAATTGTAGTGCTTTAATTTTGCTAATGAAATTAAATGTAGGTAAGATAGTTTTTTAAGAACATGTTTCGCTTTATCCCACTAGTGTTTAAATTGAATTTCATTTGTTTCATATGATTTTATATATGTATTTTTTTTATTTAGCGATAAAGGATTTTTTAATTGATAAATTCATGAGAAATTACCTTTTTACATATATTGGTGCAAGCTTCAACGGGGTGTTTTTGGAAAGACAGAAGAGAAGGGCAGTTAGAGGCAAATGTAGGGTGTGTTCTTTATATTTGTACTCCGACGCGTAATTCAGAAAGAGTGAAGTCAGAAAGAAAGTAGAAATGAGAGAAGGGAATTGAATTGAACATGCCTTAATGATGCTTAGACCTTCATATTTATAGATAAGTTGTAGAGGACCATTAAGGGATAATAAAGATAGTGTCGAGCTTATGTGGCACTGAACATGTCAGATCGACCTAACATATCAGATCGGCATAAATGATAAAAATAACCTTGATTGTTTGTTGAAGGCCTCTAAGATGGAAAAAACCACTATACCCTTTTGACCATCAAATACCTTAACACTCTATTCTCCTACCGATAGTTTAAGTATCAGATTGTTGAATGTATGATCAATACCCCCAGTGTAAGGCAGGTCAGCAAAAAATGATTACCTGAAAGTTTCATTCTTTGAAACTAACATTATAGAGAGAGATCAATTTTAGGGGATGACTAGCCTTAAGCCGCTGTTTGACCTTATGATTATCTAATCTCGAACGTGCATCTTGGGTTGAGTGCATAATGAGCTTAAAGGTTATCAAGGTGATAATTGTTCGGAATGATTCAAGGTTAGTGTTGGAGTTTATCTGGTCATCATGAGACTTGTGTTTTATTTCAAAAGCTTGGATTTGAGCTTCCACTTTAAACTCTAATGGTGAAACGGGTTTTGGGTTTACTTCAAAGAGTCATCCGATTTAACCGATCCAAGTTAGGGTTCCCTTAGTTAGGCTGATTTGACAGCATTAAATAAGGAGAGAGTTAGCTTGAGTGAAAAATTTTAAAAGGGAAAGGTAAAAAGGCATTTTTCCACCTTTGCTCTAACACGTGTCGTAGCCTATGTTGTTCGTCTGATCTATGATGTATCTATATAAAGAGCTGTTAGGGCTTCAATTTTCCACCTTTCTAATTTTTTTACTCTTAATTTGATATGAACTTTTTGATCTGAAATTTTTTTTGACCTTTAGAGTTTTTTCACTTCTTTTTTTATATGATTTTTAACAATGTCTTCTAGTATGAGTTTTGGGTAGGCTGAGAGTTATCAAGTAAAACTTAGAGGAGGTCAACGTGGGTAAAACGATAACAATTTGATTTCACCATTCATCAAAAACCATAATTATGAGAAGATGGCCTTTTGATTTAATCTGATGTCCGAAGAAGGGCAGAGGCGAAACAAAAAAAATGCTCAGACAATAAGGGAATGGGTTATAAGCATGGAGGAGCTATGTGCTAAGATAGATTTTGACCTATAAAATTCATCACCTTTTCTTATCTCTTAAGTCAGTTTATCTTTTATGATCGACCTTCCTTCATCTTCGGCTATTCCCTTTTTGGGGTTTAATCATATTAATTTTCTTTTACTTCTACTCTTTCCCCATCAATGTTTTCGTTGTCACTTTTATTTCACCATAGTAAATTTTTGTTGAAATCTCTTCCTCTCTTGAGGGGTTTCCACTTCATTCCTCTTTCTTCGGAGTTGAGTTTCTCTTAGTCACAGTTTCACTTTGAAATCTTAGCCCTCCTTATAAGTCAAAGTCTTTTGACGATGAAGATTTTAAGGAGGAAAGTTTCATAAAGGAATAAAAAAAGGGGAGTACCTCAGTTAAAAAAATGATAACGAAGAGAGGAGTCTTGTAGAGCAAAACAAACTAGTCGAGGTCCTTGTATATATTTCTTGTGACCTTGGCATGATCCTAAGG